TGTCTGATAATAAAACAAAATGATGACTCAATGTCAGTTTTCAACACTTGGCAGTGATACGGACACATATTGGTTGATGCCATAAAAGTACTGAGGGTGGAAAACCCAGCCCTAAGTAGAAAACACTAATAGTTGTAGTACGAACCATCACCATGGACATATCTGTGGGATTATGAGCATGTATGCACACATATATGGGAACCACAGTAATCTGTGTGTCCAGGTACCGTCCAGCTGCAGGGTGGGGTTGTCTTCACCACCACATCCCTCCTTAGCCTTCAGGATCTGTTGGAGCACAGCCTCCACGATGGGCATCACCATGGCAACAGCTGAGGTGTTTTGGACCCACATGGAGAGGAAGGCACAGCCAGACATGAATCCCAAAATCAACCTGGAAAATGGTGACACCAAGGCCAGGACAGAAACATTAACAAAACCCAATCTCCATTTACGTCTAGATGCTGTAATATCTATTTTCTGAAACCACCTATAGCAGCCTAGTGTGGATGGAAGACCACACTGGAGAGCCTTTGAATTTAAACAATTTAACGCCAGTGTGTACAGCGTTCAGGAAATACAGATGCAAGATGGTGTGGTGGGGTACTATAGTAATTATATAGCCACAAAGCATGTGTCACCATGTGTGTAAGAAATTACAAACCAACTTCCAACTATGGAGATTTATCTGTTGAAGAAAACAACGCAGCTCCACCCAGTGGACATCTGGGGTAAGACACTGCTTTTCTATTGCCGCTTGACACGTTGAGTAGGGATTTACACATGGGAGGGAGCTGGGTGCAGTCAGAGGCTGAGCTGGTTGTGGAGGGTCTGCCCTCCTTGTTAAACTGCACCGTCATGTTTTCTATTGCTACAATCTTAAAGGGAACCTATAATGCAAAATTCACTTTTTGATTGTTTTATTTACAAGGAGCTCCGGTGTGTGTAGACCCCTCCTTTTTTCTTTTTTCTTTTTTCTATCTGTGTAGAAAAATGTGCTTCAACATATCAGTAAGATTTCCTTCCTGTAATGACGGCACTAACATAGACCCTCCTTCGGCTCAGCACCAGTTCTGCGCTCACTGTCTGCCATTGTTATTTCTTCACTACCACAGACTCAGCGAACAGCAAGAGGTCACGGCAAAAACCACAGTATAGACATGACTCTTTGTTGGCTGTATGAACGAGGACAGAAGTCCCTGTATATTCCCATCCTCTGATGACATGAAAACACAGAGGATGTCATTCATCAGTGGTGTCTTGTGATGGTGGAGGCTAGAAAAGCAAGCTCCTTGCCAGTTCGATCCCCAGACCAGTTAAACCTGGGTGGGACAGGTGACACAGCAGCGCTTGCCCCACTCTAATTAACACCACTGTGGTGAACTTGAGCAAGGCCCTTAACCCCAGCTGAACCAGTGGAGGGTCACAGGTCAGTCTGTGGTTGTACTGGGCTGCTTCCAGTGGATTTGATCTGAAGAAATAAGGATAAAAACAAACCTCACAGTCAGCTGCTTTCTGAACAAAGGCCAGTTCAATCCCGCTTCAGACTAAAGAGTCTGTGACTCAGCATTTCTATTTTAAACACAAGATGTGGCGTGTGGGTGGCGAGGTTTTGGAGTTGTTTAGAGGTGCCTGAAGGAGCTGAGGTGAACAATGGAAATACCAAGTAACAAGTAGTATAATGCATTACTTTTTAGTAAGGCTATATAATACTGTTTCAGTAACATGTAATGAGAAAGTGATTGCTGTTTCAAGTAACTTAATTCAAAGAAAAGAAATTCCTTTATGCCAACTCTGTTAAATAAAATCTTGAGTCCTGTGGCAGACAAGAGTGGTGCTCACCATCCAGGGTTGACTCCCACCACGGTGACAAGCCTTAGAGCAATTCGGCGGTGGAGACCCCACTTCTCAATAGATGTTGCAAGGCAGATGATGCCCACTAGCAAGATATGGAAGTCTTTAAAGTACTCCTTCGCCACCTGGAAGAGAAACACAGACAGAGTAATATGTAGAAGTAGAGAGAAAAGAAGGGAGAGCAAAAGTTCAGTAACTGATACCAAACACCAGTGAACAAAATGATAAGCAATAAATGCATGACAGTGACTACTACAGTGTGCTTTGTTGTGGTAAATATTCAGCAGTCATGTAAAAGTGGCCATTACCGTTTATTTTATCATTATTAAAGCTAATGTCAGGGTTAAAGGAGCTAACGTTTGGAGGCTACCATGCTAAGGTAAACTATGTTTTTACCTACAGATTGTCCCGCTCCCACCCTGACTCACGCTGATTGCTGTAATTCTCTCAAAGAAGTACACATTAACTACAGATCTGTCAAGATCCTGTGAGGTAAAATAGGTGTGATAGGGCAGAAGTGGGTAACAGTATCACACATTTTAACAAGTTTTGTACCGAATTGTTTTTAGGAACCAATATAGCTGGGGGTGCACCGATTTTTTTTTTTTTTATCATTGCAGGAGATTTCAACCAAACAAATCTCAGAGGGTTCTTTTTCCCAGATTTTATCAACATGTCATGCCAAATGCACAACTAGGGGAATGAATCTTGATTTTATCGGCCACATTATTATTTTAAGCATCGGTATCAGTATCGGCCCAGAATTTCACAATCATGAAAGCTGATTTAAGTTGAAGAAGAATAAACAGAAGGACTCACATTTGAGGACTTCATGAAGCCAAACATGGGGAAGAGAATGGCAGGAAGCATGGCGGTTATGGACATAGGAATTGCCTCCGTCACCCAGTATATCGCCATCAGCAGCAACACAAATGCACATTCTGCCTCCTATAGTGACAAAAGATAATTCTGTATTTGTGATTTTAAAAAAAGCACTTGGGAAAAACAATAGTGCATACATTTATTTGTGTGACATAACCAATGGGCAGCCACAAAGTGGACTGGTGAAATCAGTGCTTATGTCAGTAGCTGCTGTTCCTTTAATGTGCACTAGTTAACTGACTAAATTAAAGTGAATGGGAAACCTGCAAATGAGTGGTTCCAGATGTAATCGTTTTCTGATTTTCTAAATATTCAGTTAAAATTAGTTTGAAACTGGTCATGTAATGTACACTGGATTTATCCCAGTTTGTTTGCAAACATTAAAACTGAACAGTGAAGTAGGAGAGCTCTCTGTTGGCCACTTCAGCTGACACCTTTCACCTTACATTGCCATTTAATCTATTATTAATTTTAAAAGTGCTAATTCAAGCATCTTTAACAAAGAAAAGAACAAAAATGCAGCTTCTCGCACACTTCTGATTTAAGAGATACAGTGCAGAGATACTGCGGTGAACGTTAAGAAATGACTACGTATCTCATTGTTCTTCAGGGCAGTGAAGTTTACTGATGCCCTTTTGCACTGGTCTGGTTGTTGACTCACCTTTGTCATGATGGCGAGAGGAAGAGGAAGCAGCAGCACCGGCGTGAGGACGATCAGGGCAAGGCTGCGGTAGTTCCCCCAACCTTTGCTCCACTTTTTCAGCATTTTCTTTTTTGTCTTTCTTTCTCTTGTTTTCTTCCTTCTCTTCTTTTCTCCTGCTGGTTTCTGATTTAACCCCTCAGTTATTAGGGTGAGAGGCTTTTCAGCGGCTGATGATTGGCAAGTTGTAAACGTAGGGTCAGGTGGACCTTTTCAGAGACCGTTTCCAGGCAGTTTCAGAAGAAGTGGGAAAGCTGGAACTCAGACTTGGAGCTAGGCTAGCAGCTCCCCTTGCTTCCAGTCTTTGTGCCAGGCTAATCACCTCCTGGACCTAACTTGGAATACGTGCACAAAGATGAAACTCTGTAGAAGATGCCTTCCTAGAGGATTTCACAAGTTTTTTGTTAAAGCTATGAACAAAAACCTATAATGATGTTTCTTAATTTTACTTTTGAGTTCACTTCACAACAGATTTTTGACTGAAAAATGTAGACAAAAACAGATTTTCTCTGATTTTGTGGTAATTTTCTGGCACCTCAGTTGCCACAGTCTTACATTTAAACTTTTTTTGTGTCCATCTGAGGTATTCAGAAACTGACTGTGAAAAACAAGCAGCCAATGAGAAAACACAGGGTCTATTATATTGAAAGCATAGTCATAATTTACCAAACTTTCATCCAAACAGACTAAATCTATATTTGAACATACATGCAGCTGTTGTCATGCAAACAGTGGCAGTGGGTGGGGAAATATCCACAGACAGAGCGTGAGAATTACCTCTTGACAATGAGAGCGAACATCTTACCTCACTACCTTGCTCCTCTCTCTGGGTGTGAAAGCATCTGCATACATCACTGCTATCACAGCCTCCTTTAACGGGTCTCGCTGCTCGTTAGACGTCACGTGATGGCAGATAAACTGGAGAGATTAAAAAAAGACTCTTCTTCTTCACAGAAACAGAAAAAGTGAACATGAACTTAATTCCTAGAATATCTGGTATCCTTTAACTGCTTGTCTTGGAGTCCTGAGAGGGTCGTTAAACAGTTGCTAAACCTATTCTTGACCTCTGAACCCTGGCTAATGCCTCTGATTAACAAAATGCAGGAAAATTATTTGCAACATCCCAGAAGGGACAGAGATAGATTTAGTCCGAGCTGAAAATATTTTAATTGTGAATTTTGCCAAGGTTCTTTAAATGATACATCAGTGTGTGGGTAGCATTTTACTGTAATGCTACTGTGAAGTACTTTATGTACAGTTACAGTAGGTAGATTAGTCCTCCAAACCAGTGGCTCCCGACCTACTGTTATGATTCAGCCACATAATCGGTGGGGACAAACTGTATAAGACTCATGTGAGGGCCTCAGTCATGTAATTTTCTTAAATATTTCTTTGTTCCTGCACATTTCAGTGTTAGGTTAGAGTACAATGCTTCTGGAAACAATCCCAAAGGCTTAATAATTCATTTGGAGGACAAAGCTCTAAGAACACTGTGTAAAGCTCATTACATACTAGTTTCAAAATAAAAACACTCAAAGAAAATGAATTTACGAGTCAAAGCCAAAGTGAAACCATCGTGACTTTAATTGCAGATTTCAGACAAAATATTGTAGAAAGTAACAATATGAGCAAGGGCAGAAACAGCGGCTGATGAAAATAAAACCACAGGGTCGTTGTTATTGTGCCGAGGCCAGTGTGGGGTCAGCAACGTGCTTCTCTCTAGCCGTGGTCACGGGCTTACAGACTAGCTGGTTGTCCAGGGCAGCGGCCGACCGAGAGTCCAGGTACTTGGCCATGATGGGGATTTGGCTGAAGTGGCGTCGAGCCAGCATGTGCTTGTGTTTGATTCTGCAGATGAACGTGGTCTCATAGACCTGAACATACACACACACAGGAGGGTGACTCGGTTTGTGCAACAGCTACAGTCAAACAAACTTCACTAGCTGCTTTTACTGTTAGAAAAGTCACAAAACAAAGTTCCAGAGTGACTGATATAGGAAGTTAGTATCAGTTTGCGCAGCAAATGTGTACAGTGCACCATCAGGATCTGTTTCAGGGGCCTGGGAACCATTTCAGAAACTCTACCATTGTATCTCCCTGGGGAACCAGGGACTAAAGGCCTGTTTCCACCAAAGACTAACCAAACTCAGGAACCACATAAGAATCTACTGCTGTCACTGAACATGAGCTGTAGGCGCCTGAGGTTTGTGTATCATTCCTCCATGTCAGTTCTTAACGCCTGCCTCGGATGTAGACATTTAGTGCGGCTCCTCCAGGCAAAATGCAGGTAAAGATTCCTGAGCTCCTTAAAACGCTCCAGGCTTTTTGGAAGAGTTCCTGTTGAAAGTTATAACAAGATCTCTGTATCTCTAGGGTGGCTATTTGTAATCTAGCGATAGTTCGATGACACAACTCCTATACTATCCAATCACAATGCAGGAAGAATGGAGCTCATGAGAACCTTTGTTAATACCAGGTATAAGTGCATATACAGTACAGGACACACCTACACAACACTGCATACATGAACATTATAACCCAGATACAGTACATCCATCTATCCAGGTACAGATTTCATGTGAATACTATTGTAAGTGTCTCCATGGACAGACCTTGTGGACGTCATGCACCTCCAGGTGAGCTGACGTCTCCTCTTTGGACAGCAGGATGCAGTTCCAGGGGCTCCAGTCCTTTTTAGACTCCCAGCGGACAAACACCAAGTTGTAGAGGTTGCTGCCAGCGTGGATGGCTGAGCGGGATCCCCAGACCACATCCACCAGGTACCGCACATCCTCCACCTGAGAAGACACACCTGTAGATGTCAGGGTCGGGCATCTGCATTGTATAAACATCACAGCAAGCAGTGTGGGAAACAAAAGTAGTCTGCTGAAGCTGCCAGTTAAAAGGGGGAGATTATTCAAACAGACTGAGGTGAAAGCAGCAGGTCACCTGCAGCAGGAAGGGGATCTTGGCATCCTCTTTGAGCCGCTGCTCATCGGCTCTCAGCCTCCCCAGGATGTTTTTGTAGCAGGAGAAGTCAATGCGGGATCTAGCTATGTTGTCGACGTGGGAGCAGTCCCGGCACCGACCGCACAGACGGTCTGTGGTGGCTGGGCTGAAGTCGGCGGAGCACAGGTAGTGCTGGCAGTTGCGGCAGAAGAACATGTTGTTCTTCAGCTGGGAGGGATTCTGGGGAACCTGGGACAGATTTTAGATTACATGTAGATACTGCATTTATATCACATTTATACCCAATAGTGACCAAAACATAGACACCACCAGCACCTGGAGCAGCTTGGCCACCTCGGGGTTAAATGCCGGTGTTTTGACGTACTGCAGGAACAGAGTGGAGATTCTCTTCCTCAGTCCCTCCAGACTGGCTTCCTTAACCCTGCGAGCCATCAAGTCTGTCTCTCTGTCAATCAAGTCCACGATGTCCCGGGTCAGTTGACACTCATGCTCCTGTTCGGTAAGGACACGGACGATCAAGCTACCAACAGAAACTGTAATGCTCATATAAAACAGGCACTGGAATTTTGCAACATAGATAAAGAGCATTATACATTCTAGGAAATCCTATTTTATTTCATTTTTATATAACCTTTACTTTACTGAGGAAAATCCCAGTAAGTTTTACAACCTCTTCTGAAAAACAGCACTGAGAAATGCACATACAAAATTAAAACCATATTATAAATTTTCAATAAACTACAAAAACAGTTCCGATGTTTTGCTAATCGTACGCTAGTGAGACTACACTAGTCAAAATGTGTTAGTTTGAAGTCCCTTTGCAAACCATCCCCAGTGGCTGGAGCAGAAAACATGAAGGCCACCCTCTCTGTCCAAACACCGCTACAGACAGCAGATATGAATCTTCAGATCTAAGATTATAGTGATGGGTTAATGGTTTAAAGCTAGTAACAAATCTTCATGCACTGTGACAAACACTGGGAAGATACTGTGCTGGTGAATTCATCTATAACCAAGAACTGGTAAGATGTGGTAGCAAACAGCCTGTTCCTGGCCTCTAATGAAAAACGAGATATAAACCTACCTTCAGTCTAAGTTTCTTTACAAGTTTGTCAGCGATTTGTCAAACCAGACTCCACAATGTTTGTAGCATGTGACATCAATGTTCTTCCCTTCAGTTGTCACAATATTAATATTTCAGGAATAACATTAACTTGTTTTTTTTACTCCATACTAATATGAATTCAGTGAGCTAAGACTGCACAATGTTGAGTGCAGATAGAAGTTTTTGAAGCCTCTGTGTTCGAAGGTGCACAGCTACAGCCTATAAACCTATGTCATTCACAGCTAAGCAGAAGCCTTTATTTTGAAGGGTTCTATCAACACTACTGGTGTTACATTTCCTATTTTTGTGTGTTTCCTAAAGCATTGTTAATATATGTTTTCATGTACAATGTATGGTTTCCTTTCAACAGAAAGTTGAGCAGATCTTTTCCTTTGTCAGCTGTAGGCTGCACTACGCCAGCTTTTCGTCTCCTTCACGTTCTACTACAAGTGTGCGTATTTTCCTCCAGTCCTGTTCACAGAGCAGCGTGAGCTACCTTGACAGTGTGTTTGAGTGTCATCAGGACGTAGACTCTCTGCTCCTGGTCGGCAGGCGACTGGCTCACGCTGTTGTACAGATCTCGCAGCTGTCTTGCTCTGACTGTGTGCTGACTGTCCATCTCGATCAGACGGCCGTCTGCTGCTCGCCACCGATGAGGAGCCGCACACTGAAGTGCACACCAGGATACTGTTATGACCACTACTGCTGCTTTAACACCTGTGCTGTTACTGCTGCTCCGGCTATTGACACGTTGTTACAACTGATGATAATAGTGTGATTATTAATACTACAACAACTACTACTAAACTACTTCTGCGACTTATATTTGTACTACCACTATGACTACAATAACTATGATTACTATTCCTACTACCTCTGTTCCTCGTGAGTAGTACCTACAAATCCTACAACTCCTACAACTACTGCTACTCCTGCTACATTACTACTGAAACTACTACCCCTACACTGCTACTACTAATACCCGCTCTCCTCCCCCTACTACTGCTACAATTTGCAGTTGTAGTAGTAACAACTACTCTTCTGCTTTTTTCTACTTCAACAACTCTGTCCACTACTAATTCATGATATTTCATTGATTGATAGGCTGAATAGAGTCAAGTATTTTACTCTCCTGTGATTTATGCCGGAACAGAAATAAAAGATATTTCTGATCAGTGTGTGTTAACTGTTCTTGTGTCAACTTGACTTTGACTGTACAGCCTTGTATTCACATGAGCTCTCTCCTTTCCTCTTTGGCTGAGCCTTTATCTTTGTTATCAGCCAAAGTGACTTTTAGTGGCAGCCCTAACTCCAGCTACTATTTAGAGAAAGAGACAAACTGGACATTAAAACCGTCGTGGTCTGGGTTTAGAGGGCGGAGGAGGAGGAGTGACCTCTGACCTTGTCCAGGAAGTTCCTGATGGTTTTGTCATAGTTGTTGTTCTGGACGATGATGCGATGGCGTCCGATGGCGGCGATGAACTGCATCTCCTGCTCCAGCAGCGAGCAGAGAGCGGCCTTCCGCTCAGCTCCTCGCAGGGTTGAGTTGATCTGCTGCTCCTCCTCACACCTCCACTCTGAAACACACACACAGTTTTAGCATTTTGCTCATAAAACAGAGTGAGTCTTCCTCAGCGTCCCTTCTCTCAACCTACTCTCCAGGGCGTGGTACAGCAGGTTGAAGTCCTCCCTCCTCTGTGGGTTTAGCCAGCGCTGGTGGCGGTCCCTCAGCTGCTCCTCCTTCTCCTCTGTCATCCTCCTCTTCTGGAGGTCCAGCCAGGCCAACCGCCGGTCCCGCTGCCTCCTCAGCTGGCCCACTATCTGCTGGGCAAGCCAGCGCCGAGCAAACGACTGTAAACAGATCACCTGGACAGGTGACAAGAGAGGAGGAACTACACATAAACACAGCAAAAGTAGAATTTGTTATATTTCATTTATATACAGCATCTAAGTTTATATATTTGTATTACTGTTGTAATACAGTGTGTATATTATTACATATACAGGGCCGGGTATCATTCTAAAATCTTTGATACCAGTACTGATACCGATACCTTGACTTTGATTCCAGTTCCAGTTCCTAAACCATACTTTTTATCGATACCAATTTGATAAAGTAAATTTTAAAAAATATCCATACATACACATTTTGGCACAGATCATTAGTTTGACTTTCTCAATTCCTTGGCATTTTTGTGCACTCAAAGCAGATTTATAAAATAAAAAGTAAATGTACTTAGTACAAACCTCAGGTTCTGTTAGCACTAACATTAATAAATAAAAATGTAGAAAAGCATTTTCTAAAACTAGATGAAACTGAAGTAATTTGATCGATGCCATAAAAGTATCAAAGTTCGATACCCAGCACTATACATACGTACATTCACACACACATTTTACATTTACAGTCAGGGAAAAAATTATTTGAACCCCAGCTGATTTTGTAAGTTTGCCCACTAACAAAGAAATGATCAGTTTACAATGTCAATGGTAGGTTTATGTGAACAGTGAGAAACACAACAATAACAAAAAAAATCCAGAAAAATGCATTACAAAAAAAGTTATACATTAATTTGCATTTTCATGAATGAAATAAGTATTTGATCCCCTATCAGTCA